TTCTGGTCTCTCTAAAAAAATTAGCTATCCAAATCCCAACCCAGGTCTTGTGAATTAGAGTCGCCAAGATTATGGTTAGGCTTTACTTCTTCAAAGCACTATGATGATAAACATCCTCCTATGTAATAAAGAGCTAATGTGCTCATTACACCAAACAGCCAGACGACCATCTGGACTAAGCAGGGGCTGTGAGGGCCAGCTGGGGCTACGAGGGTGGAGGCCCCGCTGCATGAATTTTGTGCATTGGGCCTCTAGTTTTGCTATAAGTCTCTACCAAATCCATCTTATAATTGACAACTAGAGATGACAGCAGGAAAAAAGTTCTCTCTCTCTTTTTTTGTTAATCCCGGCCAAGATTATGGTTAGGCTTTACTTCTTCAGAGCACTATGATGATCCTGATAAACATCCTCCTACGTAATAAAGAGCTAATGTGCTCATTAGACCAAACAGCCAGACGACCATCTGGACTAAGCAGGGGCTGTGAGAGCCAGCTGGGGCTACGAGGGTGGAGCCCCCACTGCACGAATTTTGTGCATTGGGCCTCTAGTTTTGCTATAAGTCTCTACCAAATCCATCTTATAATTGACAACTAGAGATGACAGCAGGAAAAAAGTTCTCTCTCTCTTTTTTTGTTAATCCCTACCTGAGGATATTTTCCCATTGATTTTCAGAGTGGAAGGGAGGAGAGACAGAGAGAGAAGCATTGATGCAAGAGAGACACATTGATTGGTTGCCTCCCACATGTGCCCCAAACTGCTTGGGATGAAGCCTGTAACCAAGGTATGTGCCTTTGCCTGAAACAGAATCCGGGACCCTTCGGTACACAGGCTGACGCTCTATCCACTGAGCAAAACTAGCTAGGGCAAGTTCTCCTTTTCTAAACATCGAGGTGAAGAGCATTTACTATTAGAGCACCTATCTGGAAATATTCAGTGACTGAAAACTTTAACTATGGATAGGATTTGGGTGTGCTCACAAAAAGGATGAGGGGAAATGGTTCAATGCATTCCTCGTTGTTGTATAAGAAAGTGGATGCTTCATTCACAACCAGGAATGATACTGCCTTTCCCAGTCCACTGGAAAGGAAAGTTAATAGGCCACACCCTGGGCTTTGGGAGAGAGCTGCACCCAGCAGTGTCAGCAATTCCTGAAACAACTTGGATGGAACCCCAACCTGATGCCACACCCACGCAGGGCATTAATGGGTAAACAACAGCTCTTGGGAGGTATAAACATGGTCAGCTACATGGCAAGGACAAACAGCAACCCATCCTTAAGGCACAGACAGGGTCAGAAACAGATTCCAACAAGAAAGGGCCCTCACCTGTTCTAATTACCCAACTAGGGGCCTGGGCAATAAACATGGAAGGATAGAGACAAAATTTGGAAAGGATTTACAGGTGGAAACTATGGAGTCAAAATAGTTGGTCTACAGCTGTACTGACTGAGATGGTAGCCACTAGCACTATATGTGACTATTTAAATTAATAAAAACTTAAAATGTAGTTTCTAGACGCATTTCAAATTCTGAATAGCTACATGTTTTAGAGAATGAAGGTTATAGAACATTTCCATTATCGCAGAAAGGTCTTTGGACAGTGCTGGGCTAGAGAACCGTTGGTTTCCCATCTCGTGGAAAAGACAGTTTAAAGGGGGCTCTTTTATTATCACTGTTCCAAATGTACAAAAAAAATTAGAAAATAACCCCCCAACTTAATTCCCCCCACCCCTAGCAACACAAATAATTTTTCCCAAAAGCACAAACATAAACTGGTCCTGGTATTTCCACAAACAGTGCAGCTAAGAAACAGTTTAGAGAAAATTTAACAGGATTCAGATAATATCCATCTATCCTCTCAGCCCTGAGAGGTAATAATCCCATATGGGTACCAGTCCTTCCTAACGGTTTTCCCCGCTCTGGTGGAGGAGTTCTTTACAAAGTGGTATGTTTGGCTGCTGCTTTAGAGATCCTCCTGTGCCTTCTTTTTCTTCTTGGGTTTTTCTTCTTGAATTATAGGGGTGTTTGTAGCCTCTCGCTGTAGATAGCTAATAAAATCACTTAATTCACGGCCACCCTGAAAACAGAAAGATTACCATGAAAATTTAATCATTTAAAGAACCCTGGGTTTTCCCCCAACCCCCAATAAGACTTTTGAGTTTGTAAAAGCACATTAACCACATATATTGATGAGAGTCGAAAGAGTTTCCAGTTAAATAAATATAATTAAAGAGCTAGATATGTACAAGCTTGTGTGAGTATGTGTGTGTTTATTTGTGGAGAGCTGAGACAATGCACTTACTTCATATTTCTTTGGATCTAGCTTCTTGTTGGCTGGAGAGAAGTAGATGGTAGGAAAACTAGGAAAAAGAAAAAGAAAAAGAGTTGACTACTTTCCAGTTCGAGTAACTCTGTCATACTAGTATATGTCCTTAATAACTGTTTCTTGGAGTAACTTCTCTTCAGGCTTTCTTTTTTTTTTTTGTAATCCTCACATGAGGATATTTTTCCATTGATTTTTAGGAGAGTGGAAGAGAGGGGAAAGACAGAGAGAAATAGCAATATGACAGAAACACATCGATTGGTTGCCTCCTGCACACGCCCTGACCAGGGCCTGGGTTGGGGAGGAGCCTACAACCAACGTATGTGCCCTTTACCGTAATTGAACCTGGGACTCTTTGGTCTGCAGGCCAAAGCTCTATTCACTGAATTAAACTGGCTAGGGCCATGATTTCTAATCTGACCAGACAGCAGTCTCCATCAATGGCTAGGGTAACATCCGACCAAAACTCAGGAATATGAGAGCTCACAAAATCTGTGACAGTCATGTAGGCCCATGCTGCAGAACTCTAACCCAGGGAAGGCATTAGTGATTCCTTTTTTTTTTTTTTTAAATATATTTTATTGATTAATCACAGAGAGGAAGGGAGAGGGATAGAGAGTTAGAAACATCGATGAGAGAGAAACATCAATCAGCTGCCTCCTGCACACTCCCTAGTGGGGATGTGCCTGCAACCAAGGTACATGCCCTTGACTGGAATCGAACCTGGGACCCTTCAGTCCACAGGCCCATGCTCTATCCACTGAGCCAAACCGGTTAGGGCGGCATTAGTGGTTCTGTGCTCAACTGGAATATGAGGCTCCCCAAACTATACCCAATAAAAAAAATGGCTTTTTTTGGTCAATTGGCTACACATTTTTATTAGTTTTTAATCTACTTACCCTCTGACTTCATATGGAGAAGGCACATCATTGGCTGTGGCATCCATCTTGGCTATGATAATATTTGGGTCTTTTCTGAGCTGTTAATAAAAAGGTCAGATTTTTAAGTTTCAAGTTACAGTGACTGAGAGACAGTCAATTCAGGACTGAAAATAATCACATCTTAAAACACCTACATAAGCTTTGCTGCTCAGACAAGAAGAGTAGTTATCACTTACACATAGTATCTTGCCTTTCACAAGCTTCCCTTTTCTCTCTGGGTTCCATATTAAGACTCTATATATAGCCACCTTCAAAACTATCTAGCTGAGAGAAGACACTGTAAAGGCTAAGCCAAGTGTTTTAAGGTGAAGGAACATAATGGTTTCATATAAACCATTACCAAAATTCAGAAGCCTGGATATATATTTTTAAAAATATATCTTTATTGTTCTTTAGAGAGAGAGACAAAGTCAGAGGGATAGAAAAAGAGAAACATCATAGATTGGCTGCCTCCTGCATGTCCCCTCTTGGGGATCAAACCTGCAACCTGGCCATGTGCTGACTGGAAACTGAACTAGGGACCTCATGATTCATGGGTTGATGCTCAACCACTGAGCAATACTGACAGGGCAGCATGTACACTTTTAACCATAATCTAGATCAGTGGTTCCCAAACTTTTTTTGGCCATGCCCTACCTAAGCATCTCTAAAATCCTGATGCCCTCTCTGTGACATAAATTCTTATTACTCAAAAAGTGAATTCCTATTCATGTGGAGAAAGTCTAAAAGGCCATTACCTTGGTCTAAACAAGCTTCCAAAGAACATGGCATCCATGAAAGAGAAAAATAAAAGAACAAAAGGACAGTTGAAGTACTGAGAAAGAAATCACTAGAAATTGTTAAAAAATAATAATGTGAAATGATATGAAAAAATAGCAAATAAAGTTTCAAAACATAAGAGAACTAAAATGCATAAATATGTGCAATATA